GACCATAAACCAAATTTTTAAAACAAACTGCCTTGTAGGTTATTGGTTCCCTCAAAAAGTGAGATTGGACATGTAAGCAAAATTAAATTGGACAAAATTAATAATATTCTTAGAAATAAATTAAATTTGCAACAGTGGAAAAATACCACTGATGTTATAAATTGGTTCTCCATAATCGATAATAAAAATAACTGTACATTTATTAAATTTGATGTTAATGATTTTTACCCCTCAACTGCAGATATTTTAGATAAAACAATTGAATTTGCAAAAAGCCACACAGTCATTCCTGAAGAAACAATTCGCATAATAAAACATTGTAGAAAAACCTTACTTTATTTTAATAAGGAAACTTGGAAAAAGAAAAACATACATAACTGCTTTGATGTAACAATGGGCAGTTATGATGGAGCAGAAATTTGTGAATTTGTTGGATTATATATTTTAGATTTATTAAGTAAAATAATCAATATAAATAATTTAGGCCTTTATTGCGACGATGGTTTAATAGTAATGCGTAAAAAATCTGGTCCACAGCTTAATAAAATTAGAAAAGATATTATAAAAATTTTTCAAAATATTGGCTTTTAAATTGAAATAAACATAAATTTAAAAATTGTGAACTTTCTTGATGTCACATTTAACCTCTCGGAAAATACATATAAGCCTTTCAAAAAACCAAATAATGAATTATTGTATATTAATATTAACTCAAATCATCCACCCCAAATTCTAAAACAAATCCCGATTTTAATTAATAACAGGCTTAACCAAAACTCCTCTAATGAAAATGTATTCAATTCCTCCAAACAGATATTTGAAGATGCCCTTAAAAAAAGTGGTTTTGAAAACTTTGAATTAAAATTTGACCCTGAAAAAAAGAATACAAAAAAGCGAAATAGAACTAGAAATGTAATTTGGTTCAGCCCCCCATATAGCAAAAATGTTTCCACAATCATAGGAAAAGTGTTTTTAAAATTGATCGATAAGCATTTCCCGCCCTCTAATAAATTACATAGAATTTTTATGTGAAATACTATTAAAGTTCGCTACAGTTGCACAAAAAATATGGAAAGAATAATAAAAGGTCACAACAATGCTTTGTTAAACAAAAAAGAAACCCAAAATGAAAAAACTACAGAAAATTGTAATTGTAAACAAAAAAACATTTGTCCAATGAGTGGAAGTTGTTTATCAAAAAATGTGGTATATAAATGTGTTGTCTCCTCTAAGAATGTACCTGATAAACAATATATTGGCATTACAGAAGGTGAATGGAAAAAACGTTTTGCCAATCATAAGCAATCTTTTAAAAATAAAAAGTATTCAAAAGACACCATGCTGTCAAAATATATATGGGAATTAAAAGATAAAAATATTGATGATTTTACACTGAATTGGTCCATCCTTAAAACAGTGCCTACATATAACAATATTTCCAAAAAATGCATACTATGTCTAAAAGAAAAATTTGAAATAATTACACATAAAAACCATGAATGTTTTTTAAACAAAAAATCGGAATTGATTTCTAAATGCAGGCACGAAAATAAGTTTCTCCTAAAAAACTATAAAAATAAGTGAGCTTAAATAATAGTTACATTAACTCCCCTTAGAAAAAAATATATTATTTTTTAAAAAAGCTTAAGTAATCATTTCTAAAGAATTCTTTTTACAATAGTGTCAGCAAATTACACAAATGTGTGAGAAATTGCAGTAGTTAAGACATGTGACTTCCTGTAATTTAATTTTTGGTATAAATTGACGTTTTATTAATTTGATCATTCATTTCTGATGAGTCTTTATTGATGAAACACAGTGTTAAATGAGAAAAAATTTTGCTAAGTGATTTTCTACTAATTTGAAATTGCTCTGTTCTTTTAAGAAGATTGAGCACTCTTTTTGTAGAATACATTTTAAATTGTTTATATATATATATATATATATATATATATATATATATATATATATATATATATATATATATATATATATATATATATATATATATATATATGTATATGGGAAATTTGCTACTATATTGTATCCAAAACACGAGAAACTGCTAAATTAAAGAAAATAAAGTTATATCAAAGTGCCACCACGAAAATAAATTCTTATTAAAAAATTACAAAGCTTGATACACACCTAACAACTAACAATAACTATATTACTCTACTTCATATATCTCCATGCTAACCAGGGGTGTGGAGTCGTAAAAAAAAGTAATGACTCCGACTCCAGTTGTTGAAATTTTTTAAGTACAACTCCGACTCCAACTCTGACTCCGACTCCAACTCCAAAGCAAAATTTTTGAAAAATTCTTTGAATTCTTTCAAAAATATTACGCAATAAGTTAATAATTTTCTTTTTTGACAAATTTATAAAACATTCTTTGAGGTTTAGTATGAACATAAGGTTAATTGAATGTTTTGTACATGCACGTGCAATACCTAGAAGTTTTACTATTGGAGTCGGAGTCACGATTTTGTTAAGCGACTCCACTAAAAATGTTGTGACTCCGACTCCGACTCCAGAGCCCTGATGCTAACTAATAAATTACTCACATACTCAGCAATTGTAACATGTTTCATATTATTTATATTTTTATATTAATTTTTAACTTTATATATTTTTAATAAAAAAATAATGCACATTATCACATAAATGAATATTTTAAACAAGCATTAAAATATATGACTATTTCACAACTATCAGCTAACTAAAAACAAATTAGTAATAACATTATAACAATGTAACTACTAAACAATCTCCATCCTGCAATGATCTGTAACTGTAATGCAAATATAAACTGTAACATCCATTTAACAAATTGTAGCAAAATTAAATTTGTTAAAAAGTCTTAAAAATAAGGAAGTGCATATATAAATACATAAGTACATAAATAAATAGTAGTGAATATATTTGTATACATATATAAATAAATAAATCTTACGGAAAAAATACAGAAATTAGATATACAGTCCACATTAGGTCAAACCAATAAAAAAAATAATAATAATAATATTAAACACTCTTAAAAAAAGGGAGAAATTTTTAAGGAAAATTATAATTTTTAGGTAAAAAATTTTATGAAAAATAATTTATTGTAATTGAATTATCTGCAATATAATTTTCTACATTAAAAGGTTAAAAATTATACCTTACTAAGGGTATATTGCATATCTTACCCTTAGGTAGATATTTCTACTTTTTGTTTAGATTTAATGGGCCAATTTTTATATTAATGTTAAATTCCCTATATATTAAATGTTTATCCCGGATCTTTGATTTAGAACTCTAAACATTCTATTAAGATTTTACCAATCAAAGGCACCTCCCTTCCTTTTACATTATGAATAAGCTTGCTGATTTCAAGATATGTTCACATTTTTTAAATGTTCATTCATGTCCCTAAAGCCATAAAGGCCACTACAGTTGAAGAGGCTAATTTAATTGTGGTTACAACCTCTCCCAACTATATAGCTCTAAAATATAAACCTTGATGAACAGGGCCGCTGCGTGGAAAAACAATTTGAGAGCAACAGGTGTTTCTTTCAAATAAATAAAAAATCTAATAAGACAGATGATAGTTTTACAATTTTGCAATCACAAGAATACAATTCAGCTGGTCCAAAACTTACACAATTAGTACAAGACTTTTTTGAACATGATGACAACAGTAGAGTGACCTCTGGAAAAAAAGAAACAGTAACATTAAAAACAACAGAAAAAAAGAAAAGATTGTCATCTAGTTTGATAAAATATTTGCATGCTAAGTTCTTGCCTGAAATTCATGTCATCCACTTCCAGTCAGATTGACTGACAACACATTAAAGACAAAAAATCAGTTTTTACTTCTTTTACACAATAATACATGATTTTGTTTTTAAATTGGGTAGCTGGAATTTTTTAAAGTGATAATGGAAAAAGGGTCAGTTTCTACCAACTAAGCAGTTGCCTACAAACAGCCATATTATCAGATAATAACTGTTGTAAATTTTAAATCTGATTCAAATAATTTAGGTTATAAAAACATGGTGCTTTTGCTCAAAAGATGGGAAGGGGGGGGGGGGAAGGGCATAAAACCCACAAAAAAATACTGTTTTAACAAGTTAGTACAGTTTATTACAAAGTATTGTAAATAATTATATTACTTATGATTTTCAAACTCTGTTGTTGACTTATTTATAGTTTCCTTATACTTTGCTTACTTTTAAAATTAGCAAACCTGAAGATGCTGTAGTCAACATCTTTAAGAACTACAAAGTTCCTGATTTTCCAAAAAATATTAAATGTTAGCAGTATATAATTAAGAAGTCTAATAACCATACCAGGAATCTTTTTACAAGTGTGTTACTTTAAATAGGTATTGAATAATGATTTACGAATGATGACCTTAAGAGGTCCTACCAAGAACGCTGTTCAAAAAATTTATGTTCTAAAATACAAAACAAAGAAAACTTATTCAGACTTTGGTACTTTTTATTTGTTGTTGTTAAAAATTGTTTGACTAAGAAGCACCATTAGCCATGATTAAAAGAATAGCATTTGATTGGCTCTTTTTTTACTCCATAAAAATGCTTATATGTTATATGTAAGCCCTAAACTCTAGAGTCTTAAGTCCAGAACTAACAACTGTCAACTAACAACTAACAACTAAGCATACATTCAGCATATTTAAAAAAATGACAATTGACCATTATTCATTTTGCTTATTTACATATATGAATTACAATTAATGTAATACAATTATATAATTGAACAATATAATTAATATTATAAAATTATAGCAAATACATGTAAACAAAAATATAAACTAAAAGAGAAAGTAAAAAAACAAAAAGAGGAATTTTATGCTTAAGACAAACAGACAGTCATTTTAAAAAATTATGAGAAACAACAATTTGTTAATTAAAAAAATGTAACTTCTTGATCTGTTCTGAAAGAAACTTATAAGCAGATCTAAATAAACAAGTAATGTAAATTGTAAAACTGACCTGGTTAAAAACTGTACCATCTGGATATGATACACCTGGCCTTAAATGCAAGTTGAAAAGCTCTTCCACATTACGAGTTTGGTAAAAAGCAACATTCTCACGTGTCATATAGCCAATAAAAAACACCAAAATGGCATAAAAAGTATACAAAACAAGTTCTTGTGTTATTGCATACATCTTCATATTCTTAAATCCTTTCTCTCTCATTTTTGCTATTAAAGAAGAATCAGGAGGTTGTAAATCAATATCAATTCTTTCAAAAACTGTTGATTCATCTTTTGGTCTGTAGAGCCAACTTTCATCATGAGCTAGCATTTTACCTTAAAAGTAAATGCACACTGACTTATAAGTATAAAATAATATATTTCTAGAATCATTCAAAATAATATATTTCTAGAGCCATATATATATATATATATATATATATATATATATATATATATATATATATATATATATATATATATATATATATATATATATATATATATATATATATATATATATATATATATATATATATATATATATATATATATATATATATATATATATATACATATATATATATATATATATATATATATATATATATATATATATATATATATATATATATATATATATATATATATATATATATATATATATATATATATATATATATATATATATATATATATATATATATATATATATATATATATGTTATGTCCCCAGGGCTGAGAAGGTTGCTACATTCGAGGAGGCAACTTAAATGTGGTTATAACCTGCTCTCAACTTTATAACTCTTAAACACGAAAATTTATGGCAGCTTTAGTTTATATTTTGTTATTTTTTTGCTACTTTGACCTCAAAGTTTAACTTACTGTGATATTTAATCACTATTTCCAAAATAAAGATTACACAAGTGTTCTACTATGTAATATCAACAACTTTTATTGTTTTATTGTTACGCGTATTATTTTTATTCCACAGACAAAAAGATTGTTTACTATTTGAAGTGGGGTTTGAATTGGCTAATGCATATAGGGTGGACACAAATGCTTTTTATTTAATTTTCTTTTTAATTAAACCTTACTTCCTTATCTTAAATGGTGTTGATAAATTTTTGTTTACAAATTAATGATTTGCAAAATGTTTTGGAAACAAGTTGAGGTGCGTAAAAAAGTTGTGAATTTTTTTTGCAAAAATCCCTTAACTTCCTATCGCTTGATTGCTAAACGCACAAATGTCCCAAAATCTACAGTCATAGATATTATAAACAAGTTCAAGACTACTCAAAGCTTCGAAAGAAAACTTGGAAGTGGAAGAAAAAAAACTTTCCATAAATCCAAAAAAGTAAAGTCGATTTTACATTCAATAGCAAGAAATCCAAATCAGTCACAATGAGAAACGTATTGCAAAGCGGATTTTTCACAACTTCCTGGTCAACAGTTTTACTATGAAATAAAAGATAAACCTGTTGATGATCAATTTAAATATATTCGACGAGAAAAATTTGCATCCAAGTTCCTTGTGTGGCAAGCAATTTATAGCTGTGGTATGCAGTCCTCTTGTTTTGTCACTAAAAAGACCTTGACTGCCAATCTCTACATCAAAGAATGCCCCTAAAAAAGACTTTTGCCTTTTATAAAAAAACACAAATACCAATGTCTATTTCGGCCCGATCTTGCTGCCTCTCACTATTTTAAAAAAGTTTTACAGTGGTGCAAAGATAATAATGTGAAAATTGTTCCTAAAGATGCGAATCCTCCAAATCGTCCTGAAGAGCGCAAGATTGAAGATTTTTGGGCAATAGTTAAAGGAGTTCTTCGTAAGACAGATGGACTAATAAGTAATAAAAAGGACTTCCAAAAAAAGTGGATTAATGCCACCAATATGGTGAAAAAAGAAAAAATCTGTAAAATGATGGCATCAACCCGCTATAAAGTTCAATTTCTTGCCAAGCAACCCATCAAGCCCCTTAAAATTATATTGAAACTCTAATTTATGTAAACACATTTAATAATAAAAAAAAATTGAAATAAAAAGCATTTATGGTTTTAGAGAAATTTTAATTTAAAGTTGACCGGATTTTTCCGTGTCCACCCGTGTCCAGGATTTTTCCGTGTCCAGCATAGAATTAAGCATAGAATATCTCAACATTTCCTAAAGTATAAACTATTGCCAAAATGCAAAATGCAAATGTTTTTGTTAACACAATTTTTATTGGCCCTTATAAAATAATGTAAAATGTAAATGTAAAATGTAAAAACATAAAAATATAAAAATGTAAAATATAAAATATACAAATGTAAAAATATAAAATGTAACAAATGTAAATGTATAAACAAGTATAAACAGATGTAAAAATATAAAATGTCAAAGATTAAAATGATATCTGATTAAAATGTCATCAAATAGCATCTGATTAAAATGTCATCAAATAGCATCTGATTTAAATGTGGTCTTTGGTTTCCTCTATAAGAAATTTATTTAAAACTTAATATACTCTTTCAGTCAAATAATAATTATAAAAATTATAATATATAATAATGATATAATAGATATTTTTAAATGCAATATTAAAATTTATAATAACTAACAATTTCCGGTCTTGTTTTCTGCACAAGATTGTTCTACACAATTTGCAGAGTCTTTGTGGTACCCGAGAATCACTGATATTTTCTCTTAAAGTAAATAATCTTTATCTCATACAGTTGGCATATTTAGTCTGCTTAGAAAGCAGTAAGCTGTCTTAAACATTTTTTCAAACAGAGCAAGCACAAAATTTTCAATTTTTGCTTGATTTGATTTGATTTACTAAATCCATACTTACTAGATTCATACAAAGTTTTTTACTGCTCTTCAAAGGATTACTCTCCCTTTCATAAAATTTTCCTCTGACTGACCGTCCAAACTTTTCATTAAGACAAAGGTTGCAAACTTTGGACAAAGGATTATATGTTTGGCAGTGCTTGATAATTTTCCACTTAGTAACAAACAAAAAGTTTTCTTCTTTAAGTTTCCAAATTTCTTTAGATAACTCCATATCATTGCTGTACTTAATTAAACTAAAAGATTTTAAATGGTTTGCATACCTTAACTTGAAAGGGGTCTCACTAATACCAATATAAACTTTATCTGTGTAATCTGGTTTATTGGATGAAACAGTAGCTTGATACACAATGTTCTTACTTAGACACTGGTTGTTCATAATGCGGGTAGTTTTATTGATGCAGTTGCAGGTTTTTGTTGCTATTTTTTTATGATTGTATAAAATATTTTGATTATGCAAATTAATGACTGATTTAACGTTCGGCATACACAAGTAGCTAATTTTAATAGTGTTTCTGTTAAAAATCTTGTGTAATAAATGACCAACAGGAAAGCTTACATCAATTATTTTTAAAAAAAGATTACCTATTTTTGTTGCAACATTTCTACTATATGGGGGATTATACCAAATAATGTTCTGTTTGTGATTTTTGTTTTGAATGGGTATCCTTGGTTATCTGACTGATACTTGAGCTTGGATGAGAAACCTGATTTTATTAATGCATCCTCATAAGGAGAAACAGCTTTTTCAAAAAATTTTTTGTTTGAAGATGCAGTAGATAATCTTAGTTCAATTGTTCGCGGTAGAGTTTTTAATATGCACGGAGGGTGGTTAGAGTCGGCGTGTATATAATTAAGAGTATTGTCAGGCTTTGAGTAAAGTTGGTAGGTACTGTTGTTAAGGTTTAGTGTTAAGTCGAGGTAATTGACAATTTTAACATTACAGCTGATAGATAAATAGAGACTATTACTTTTAAAAATATTAACAAAATGCTTCTTTATTTTTTCTATTTGTTGGCCACTACGATTTTTAAAAATAGCTAGACCAATACTGGCAATTATGCTGATTTATATAAAATTTTCTTTGACCTTTTCTTGTTTTGTTTCTATAGAGACGTCAAATGTCGCTCCACTGTATTTTGTAATTTTATTAACGGTTTGTTTGTTTTTGATATAGTACATGGCTGATGATTGCCGTATAGGCATGAAATTAATAGTCCAAAGAAAAGTTGTTTTTTCTATATGTAAATAAATAAATAAATAAATAAATAAATAAATATATATATATATATATATATATATATATATATATATATATATATATATATATATATATATATATATATATATATATATACATATATATATATATATATATATATATATATATATATATATATATATATATATATATATATATATATATATACAACACCGTTAGTATAGATCCTAATAATGCCAACCTAGCTGACCCAAGAATGTCATTTATATGGGATGGGGACTAGAACTTTCAGACTATTTTCGATTTGTAAATCGAAATAGCCTAAAGTTGCTAATATTCCTAAAAAAAGTTTTTTTAGTAAAAAAAATGTCAAGTTTGAAAATAAAAGTTTCTTTGAGTAAAATCTTTATTTCTTTTTTTTTTTTTATTTTTTCAAACAACTCTAAGTTTAAAGTTCCAAATATTTTTATAAATGCATTGTCAGGGTTTCTAGCTTTGAGACAGATGGCGTCTTTTAAAGAATATGAGCAAGTGTCACATAACCATGGTATCCCTAAATGATTACTTCAATATTGTTTTAAAGTCATCTTCTGCTCAATATTTTAACTAATTAGATTAAAAACATAAAATAAAATGAAGTAAGTACTATCATTGGTGATATTTCATTCCATTTCAAGCAGGTCATTATTAAATGTAATTGTATAATAAAAAAAAACATTTGAAAAAACTTCTGATACATCACAAGGACTGCAGCACAATGTTTTTTTTTCTTAGTTAACATTCAAAATAAAATAAATGTGGCTTTCAATCTAAATGTCCAAATGTCCCTTTAACATAACATTTAAATGACTTGTGAAAGCTTTCAGTCATCAGAGCGTCTAATGTTACTTTGTCCCAAGCAAGAATCAGTTTGTAATTTAATATACCTACTAATGATAATATTTTTGTGCAGACTTCTTTTTTTAAAATAGACCATTTAAAATAATCCAGGGGGTAAAAATCTGTAGAATTACTAGGCCAAAAATCTCTTTCAATGAAACCTTGAAAAGGTTTTTTATACATATTGACAGCACTATTAACTGTGAGAAGAAACAGTGTTGTGCTATAATCTTAACAGGATTCAAAAATTTGAACCCTAAGTTATGATAGCACTCAAAAAATAAGATAGAGTTACTAACTGACATTGTTACAGTTGTTAAAAACCTAGGAAACAGTAGCTTGTTGTATTGTGGATTTAAGCCTGTTTGACAGTAACAATTTTCTTATCAAAGAAAAGTATTAAGTTTTTGCTGATATTTGAAAAAAGTTTTAGCAGAGTCATATATCTATGCAGTCTCTGCTACTTTTGAAATTTTTTGAGATTTTGACTTTTTTGTAATTTATATAGGAACCAACCTATATTTCCCCTGACCCACAGTTGCATAGATTTCTAAATAACTCCTTTGCTATATTGTTTATGGAACAACAAGAACCACTAGCAAAGCATTTTTTTACAATATTTTGTTCTTAGAGTATGCGGTCTTTCACTTATTTCTTTGTAACCAATTGTACCAAGCACTTCATAACAAGTAATTGTTCTCTAAAAAGTTTTTCTGTCAATCTTTAACTATTTTATAATCTGTGAATTAATTATTCTGTGATTTAATGTTTATATTACCTGGATTAACAATTGTTTTCATTTTTTTGTGTTATTTACTTTTCCAAAGCCAAGAGGGTCTCTACAAGCTGTATTGGAGGCTACTTTATTAAGGTTATAACCCTCTCTTAAATTTCTAACTCCAAAACATAACCTTGAAAAACAAGTTCACTGCCCAGAGAAACAAGTTAAGCATGGTACTACCAGGGACATGGTAGGGATCGAACTTGAAACTTTTGGTTTATTAAGCAAGCACTTTACCGCTACACAATTAAATTTAAGTAATATTTTTATAAAAAGCACTTTAAACTTGTATGTTATGAGAGTCCCAGTAAAATGTATTATTTTTGTTACAGTAAATATTTCCAAAAATATTTGCGATTTAGCAAAATTGAGTTGGTAATAGTTATTGGTTCAAATTTAAAAACTATTACCTAAAAATATATAATAAAAACTTATAATAACAAACATAAACCTTGTTTTTCCAATTCACATGTTTCTTCATCAATGTTTTTTGCAACAAGAGCCACAAAAATTGACAAAAAGAAAATTTTTATTGGTTGAATAAATAATATATTTTGGATCTATAAACAGAAAAAGAAGCAATTTTCAAACAACATATTAGTATTAATGTCAATAAATAATTATTAAAACTCAAAAGTATTTGAGCCAAAAAGTCCTAAATGCTAGCTGAGTTTGTGCAACACTAATATCTTTTGGAGAAAACATGGGAATAAAGCAAGAAAAAAAAAACTATTTATGAAATTAGATCAGATATAAAGTTGTGAAGGAGAAAGACAAGAGCAAATTTTATTTAACATTATAACTTTTGAATTATACTGCACAAATCATGTATTACAAAGAATTAATTTTTTTAAAATCTAATCTTTCAGAGGAAAATATTGTTCCCTTAGATAAAAAGCAGCGTGTTTGAAAATGATTTTTTCAATCTTGATTGCTATGTCAGCAAAAGCATGAAGCTGTATTTCAGGCTAAACATTTATAAATTGTTTCAAAATTTTAAGAATTTTCAAAAGAAGAATATAAGACAATAAAGTTTCAAATGAAATACAAGTTTTTAGGCAACTCAACAACAATTCAAGTTTTCCAAATAAATAATATTTATATTTTGTATGAAATCTTAAAATTTAGTTGTATATTTTACTAAATTAAAAAAAAAAAAAAATAACACATACAAATCCTATAAGTACACTTGATAACCAATTTAAGGATTTATTATTACCAAAACCAATTCCAATTAACAAAACTACAACACCACAACCAAAAATACTAGCAACACATACAGTCCATGCTATGTACAAACACCAGTGTGGTAGATAAAACTCTTTCCTTGTCTTTACTACACATGGTTTATTTTGTTCAATACTGATACTTACTATTTTTTCATTTGAATCTGCAAAACAAACTAAATTATTTTTTTCAAATAAAAAATTATTTATCTTTTCAAATAATACAAATGTGTTTACCTTTTTTGATTAAATGTAAAGAAGAAGATGAAGAAGAAGATGATCCTTCTGGAATATCATTACTCTCATTACGATATAAGACTTCATTTGAACTTTTTTTAATTATATTTTCAATTGGTTTTATTGACCGAAAGAGTCCAACAAATATAAGATTTATAGGTAACGTAATACAGATACTAATTAATGCCACATAAACCTAAAATAAAAAAAATTAATGCCTAAAAAAAAAGAATTTAATGCCACATTAACCTAAAAAAAAATATGTATTTTAGCAAATATATTTTAAAAAAATTAAAGAAACTATTTTTTTAATAAATTCCCCAAACAATTAAAAA